TTTTTTGCTACAAAAACAGCAAGCGGACCCGACGCAGTTCATTCAAGTACATGGCAGACGTTGTAAGATACATCTTGACCCAGCCACAGCTGCCGCCGGCGACGGAGCCGCCATCATGCAAGTCATATTTCGGAAAAATCCGAGTTTTTGTTTTAATTAACGGAATACATACATACATATAAAAATATCATCAACATCTAACTTTTCAAGAATGAAAATTAATTTAAATTTTGTTATGTGGTTACAGTGTTCCTTGGCAAGGGCAACAGGATAATCTCATCGATCGTTTTGACGTGCGTGCACATCTGGACTATATTCCACCAATACCAAAAGCAAGCGAGACTGAGAGTTCAGAACTTTCTCAAGATGAGCGTCAGTGCAATTATGAACGATACCGAATTTTAGCTCAAAACGATTTTCTGAACGTAACAGAAGACAAATTTCTCCACCAACTTTACTTGGAAGAGCAGTTTGGAGCGAGTGCTCAGCTTGAGGCTAGTGAACGTAATTCGAGCAAAAAGAAACAATCTAAGAGCGGTGCGACTATCGGTTACATTTATGAAGAAGGTCAACCCTCAACAGCAGCTGGCAGTCACGTTTTTCAGTCTTCGACTTTAGAGAAATCATCAGGGAAGTCGGAAAAAGGTTCCGATTCGGAGTCGGATTCTGATATGGATGTGGATGTTTCGATTGATATCTCTAAATTGGACACTTCACAAGCGCATGAGCTGAACGGTTGTGGTCGTAATTATGGGATGGTGAGCAATGACTTTTATTCCTATCTTACAAAAGACGCAGATGAAGCTGAGGCATTACGGATTGCACGTGAGGAAGAGCAAGAAAAAATGCTGCTAAGCGGAAGAAAGTCTCGCCGTGAGAGGAGAGCACAGAAAGAGCGTCGCATAGCATGTCGCCCTTTTAGTCCTCCCAGTTATGCAGCAAAGGAGGATGTCGCTGGCAAAAAAGATAAGGAAGACGAAAGTGATTCCCATTCACCATCCCCGGACCCAAATGCGGGAAAAATTACGTACATAACTTCTTTTGGTGGAGAAGATGAACTACAGCCACATTCTAAAATTTCCATTAATATTGGACGTACACCACAGACATTAGGCGAATCTTGCGCTGGTGTGTCAGCAGCAGCTAGCGCTCTAGATAGTCAGGCTACATATGCACAAAAAGTTAAGGAGAATTTGGAGAAGCTGAAACAATTGAATGAAGGCGCGAAACGTTCAACAACTACAGGAAAACCCAGCCG